TTTTTGATAATCGATAGTTTGATATTTGTTATATAGAAATAAATAAAGTCTGGCAAGGTTTATAGCGATTTGAAATCGTTTTTTAATTGAGTAAGGGGGAATAAAGTAGTGTGAGTTAAAGAGTTGTTTGTAGTTTATTTTATGAATTAAAATAAATTTAAAATTTATTTAACATATATTAAAATAATATTTATTATAAATATCTAGATACTTAAATTATATAAAGAAAATTAAAAATAATTATTATTTTATATATATAATAAAAACTTATAATTTTAGATAAGTATTTATTTAAACTAATAGATTTTAAATAAAAAATTTTTAATATTATATTTTGTTTTTTATAATTTAAAATTTAAAATACTAAAATATTTATTTTTATATACTAATTATTATTTTATAAAATCAAATCAAATTTAGAAATTAAATTAAATATTTAAATAATTTAATAAATTTTTAATTAATTTAATTAAATATTTAATTCAAATTTAATATTTCATTAATTTTATAAAGTATTAATACCAATATTATTTTCCATCCAATTTTTTAAACAAAGTGATGCTCGAGCAGTTTTAGGTTTAAGTCTATTTCTAAATTTAGAAAGTGTCTTTGATGTTATAGAAAATGCTTCTTCACAAGGAACACTAGTTGCTTGAATTGCAAGAAAATCTTGTGCTATTTTTGCAAGTACTGGATAATTATATTTATTAGCAAACCACTATTGAAGACAACCATTTTGAATAGATGATGAAATAGGTGGAGTAGATAAATATAATTCTAATTCTTCTGCTAATTGTGGTATTATAGTTTGCTGTGAAATTAATGATACAAACCATTTTCTTTTATCATCAAATACTGAAGTAGAAGTTAAAGCTAGTGGTTTATATTGATTCATTATATTTCGTAAACTAATAAGAACAGTATCTTTTTCTGTAAGAAGTGGAAATGTTATTAGCTTTGATGTTGGATCAAGAACTAAAGCTATTTTTGTTGATTCATCTTGATTAATAATAGACCAATAATCATTTAATTTATTTTTAATAAAATATGCCATTGTTTGTTCATTTTTTGAATATAAATTATTGTTTATAAATAATTCTAAATGGCGAATTATTCCCAAAAAAGTTAACCTAACATCAGCTATAGTTGGATATGAACTTGTTGAAAGAATTTCTGTAGCATGTAACATTGGTTCAAGTAAAAAAATTATATTATTAATAGTTTTCCATTCTTCTTCATCAGGATAATTGTTATCAAGTTCAGGATATGCAGTTTTAAGAAGATTAAGTTTATTATGTAGATTTTTAAATCTATTAAGCATATAGTAAGTACTATTCCAACATGTGACTATATCAATAATTAATGTATTATAATTTTTTTTAGTTATACTACAAAAATCTCTAAGTCTATCACATAAAATTGTTGACTTTGAATTCTATTTATAAACTTTCTAACTTTAACAATTACTGAGTCTTGAAATTCTATACCATTTTTTATTGCAATATTAAGAACATGAGCAGCACATCTATGATGATGAAAGCCAAAGGTATTCTATTCATTTTCAATAAATTCTCCACATAATACCATAGCAGAAGCATTATCTGTTGTTAATGAAATTACTTTACCAATAATATTCATTTCTTTACAAATTTTATTAAGTTTTTCTTTTATTCTTAATGCATTATGATTATATTTAAAATGAATAATATCAAGTAAAAATCATTTCATTTTCCATTCATTGTCAATATAATGTATAGTAATTCCAAGATAAGCTTGATTTGAACTTGATGTCCAAATATCAGCAGTAAGTGCAACTTTAGTAGTAAGTTTTTCAAGCTCTTTTGCAACATATATTCTACAAGTTTTGAATCGATTTATTATTATATTTTTTAGAAATTTGATTGATGGTAATTTATATCTTGGATTATAAACATTTACTGCTTTACAAAACCAATAATTATTAATAAATGAAAATGGAAGTTGTGCACCAATTATAAGATCAACAGTACCATTAAAGCACTCTTATTTATGATTAATATCTTTTTTACCATATGGTTCTTAAGATAGATATAAACGATTGGTTTTTAAATTAAGTATAATATTATGTTTATTTTTAAGATGTTTATTTAAAATACCAGTAGATGTAGTAGCACTATATATTGTTTCACATCCTTCAACTTTACAAATTCTTGCAATAACTTAATTTTCTATTTTTTGTTCTTCTATATTATTCCATATAGGTGATGTTTTGTTTTTTTTATTATTAATTGCTATTGGATTATATAAAGATTGCATTTTAGTAATAGTATTTATTGTGTTTGCAACTTCTATATTTTCAGAATTTTCTATATTATCTGCATCTTCTATATCCATTATATCTTCAGTATTATTTTCATCTTCTGTGCTACTTGTCTCTAATATATCATCTGAATTATCTGAATTATTGGTACTTTCTATATCACTTATATCACTTATATCTTCTATATTATCCATATTATTAATATTATTTATATAATCTACTAAATTTATATTTTTTATTACTATTAAAGAAATTGATTTTTTTTCAAAAATCGAATTATTGATTTTTTAAAAAAAAACAGATTTATTTATATTTTTATTTTTTCAATTTTGTCTAATTTATATATATTATTTAAAATTTTAATTAGAATTAACTAACCTGATTTGTACTAAATCTTTATTAAATAAGTAATTATTAAATATAATAATTATTTATTATTTATATTATTATTAATTATATTATTTTTTTATTATAATAATACATATATATAATTATTTAAATTAATTTTTTTTAAATATAATAATTTTAACAATGATTTTTAATAATTACAATATTATAAAATAATTAAAAAAATAATATTTTATAAATTAATATAAAAATAATTTTAAAATAATATATATATTATATAAAATAGTAATTTTAAATAAAAACAAACATTATCCGTGAACTAGTTCACAATAAACTTTAATAATAATTATTTTTAACGTTATAATTATAAAGATGCAATTAAGTAGTAATATTAATTATAAACTAGTTTACAATAAATTTTAAAATAATAGTAAACTAGTTCATAATTAATTTAATATTAACTAAATAATATTCTAATAAATAACTATAAACTAATTAACTATATACAAATTTGAATTTATTATATAGATAGTGTGACAAGTTCGAATTTATCACATCATGAACTAGTTCACGGAGTGATAAATTCGAATTTGTTGTATAGTTAATTAGTTTATAATTATTTATCAGAACATTATTTATCAAAACATTATTTAGTTAATATTAATATTTACAAAATTAATTGTGAACTAGTTTACTATTATTTTTTAAAATTTATTGTAAACTAGTTTACAATTAATATTATTAGTTAATTGCATCTTTATAATTATAACGTTAAAAATAATTATTTTTTATTTAATAATTATAATTATGTATTATTATCTTATTTTTAAATCTTGTTATATATACATATATAATTTATTTAAACGAATAAATTAATTAAATTTTTTGTTTC